GCCTGCTCCTTGAAACGCTTCTAAAGCTTCTAATCACACACAGGAATAGTTACATACAAGAGCCGTCTGTTTATGTGGGCTGTGGCCTGTTCTCACTGACACTAATAGGAGGTTTAAAGCTAATGCTCCTCCCAAACCCTGTTCCCTTTTCTCCTTCACCCCCTTACCTGATGATCCAGCCACACCTTCATCACCCAGTCTCAATGCTGGCTGCTCTCACCCCAACTCGGGGTCACCTTCTCTCCATGGCAGGCCCAGGGTCCTCTGGCCCCTACTACTTCTTGCACCAGGAGAGGTCATGAGGACCTCTGTGTTACCCTGGTCACAAGGAAGACCCAGCTTCTAGTTGCCTGCTGCTTGCACATTCCTTGGCTGGAGCAATCGGACTCACAGCCCAACCTTACTTCCAAAGAGAGAGAAGACAAGAGAGCAAACCCCACAATAAAGGGGAGAGAAATGCAAACTAAGTTATTTCAAAAGTATCACCTCTTACTTGTTCCTTTCAAAGCAACCATGGGCCCCTTTCTAGGCACTGACAGGGCTTTGACAGGCATTCCTGCCCTGATCTCCGCCACAGGTGTGATGGGTACCCTACTCGCCTAATACCAAGCTCACACACATTAGTGAAAAATCGTAGTTCACCAAAGTTTTCTCTGTGCTCTACAGTAAGACTCATTTTCAAAATTGTAACAGTTTTCAAACTAAGGATGAACGCTTACAGTTCCTGTGGATTGTATGAGGAATCATTTTACAAAGGGTTATTTTAAAATTTTTATTTCCTCTGTTATACTTTCAGCCTCTCATCTGGAGAGCTCCGCACCATCGAGGACTATCAGGGTATGTCAGACGTGATCTTGTTGCTTTCGGTTTTGGTCTGGCTGTGATCACAGGGGTGAAGCGAGAGGTTCATGTCTTCCGAGGAAAACGTACGCCAAGCTGACCGACGAGAGAAAAGCCATTTCAGACATTATTTTCTGTTGGATTTTATAAATAAACTGCTGTAAAGAAATAAACCAAGTAAAATGCCAGAAAAAATAATACTGTTTCATATATGATTTTAAGGACACTTTCTTCTTAAATTAAATATCTACAGCTTGGCAGCTGATACACTCAATCCTTTCTTCTATTCTTCAAAAGCTGGGCTCCAGGAGACACTTGAAATAGAGATTTACAATATATATTTCAAATAGTTCCAGAAAGATATTTTAAATCATATTTCAATTTTATTTTTAAGAACATGAGGTTTATAAAAATAAGTTGGATACAAAAGCAATGTGTGAGAATGTGTAAATATTAGAATATATGATTATAATTACATATTCAAAAAATCACAAGAAAGGAAATTGTGGTACTTATTTATTCCATTCACTTTCTAAATTACCAGCCAAAAGTAGTTCTTCATGGAATACTTCAAATTTTTAATATTTCATAAAATACAGATACTCAGAACCCAAATTGAATTGGTCTGGGATGGAGTTTGGGTGATGTTTTACAGAAAAACACCCAGAAAATACTAATATGCGGCCAGAGCTAATAATCTCCTGGATTGTCAGCCTGCTCAATGGGGGCTCCCATGAAGGTATAGGAAATTATTCTTCTGGGAGCCTTTCAGGGCTGCTGGATATCCAACCTTCCAAAAGGAGAGAAGTCTTTTAACAGTATAGTCAGCCTGGGTCGTTTGCACAAACACAGAATCTAGAAAATGAATATTTCATTATTGGTAACTAAACAGTTTGATTATAACATGCTTCACTAGTTTTTATTTTTATATAGTTCCATTTCATTATAATTTTTGGTCCCTATATTAAATGGGATTTTTCAGGGTTTTTTTGTCAATTGAAAATTATATACATGTTTATATATACATAGGTGTATATATATTAGATATAAATACACATTGCAGAGAGAGAGCATAAATACTGAAACACAGTGCTCGCTCAGCAATTCTCTTGGGCCAGGCATCTCTTTAGCTGTGTCCATGCTCATAGTGGTTCATTCTAGAAAACGTTTTCTGCAGAGAAGAATGAAACACAGTGTGCAGGAGAGAAGGTGAGCATAATAGTTAAACAGATCAATCGTCGACCATATGTGATGCCAACCACGTGTAAATTAAGAACTCTATCAGCTTTCCTTATCACACTTGCTATTGCCCATAGAAACGTTTCTAAAAGTTCTTTATTTCACAGAATCATGAAGCTGGCAGGTCCTGTCTTTGTCTCCACTCGAGAGGCTTTAGGGTCTGAAGAACCAACAAGAGCATATTATGGGATTTACCCAGGCGGTCATCAAGTCTCAATTTGCTGAAACACGCCCCTTCAAGTAGTGACTGCTCCTTAGTATGTCTGGAGACATAGGGGACTTTGACGCTATGCAAAGAAAAATGCCACTAAAGGGTTTCCTAAATGGTAGGATTTATTTCAATGCTCACATACAGTTGAATGAGACAAACTATTTACATAAAACCTAGGTACAAAAAATATAATAGAATTTATACTGTACATAATCTGGATTCTCCTATTTTGTCTCAGATAGAGGTGAGGAGGGGGTTGCTATGAATGGCAAATCGCCACACTATTAGCAGTACTTAGGGTCATTCTTCATGAATTTGTGTTTTTTTTTTAAAAAAGATAAGTTTGGGTTGTACGAATTTACCAAGAGCAGTGAATGAGCATGGAATTTGCACGTTTGTAACAACAGCTCATTTGGATTTATGTTTTCATCAGAGTCGAGGCTGGCAGAGATGTGAGTTGGTTTCTGCTGATTAGTTGGGTACCCCTTGCCCACCCTTTCCTTCTCTAAACTCCCATGATTGATCCAATGAAACAGGCAATGAGCTTCCTGCCCGGGCTCCCACAACTGGCGTCTCCAGCTGATTTTTTAAAACAATATCTGTCAGGTGTCATTAAAAATTTTTCTTAGATATTGACATGGACAGCTCTCAAGTGAGCATTTAAGACCAGTGAATTGATGAACAGAAAAACTAAAAGTGAACACCACTGGAAATTTGTATTTCACATTGAATGTAAGAACTGAAAGAAAAGCGTGGCGTGCTCACGGGCCCTGTGAGGAAAAACTCAGCAATCCACGAGTTTTCCAACAGGGTGACCAAAGCTCCGTTCTGTCACTCAGATGAAGGGGAAAGTGATGCTATCTCCTTCTATAAAAGCTCCAATATGAGCAATATTAATATATACATATATGTAAATGGCCTTTAAAAAAATGAAACAATACCAAATAAGTTTATTTTGTATCACAAAACAGCAAAAGCAAGTTAACACAGAATGAGGCTTTTAACATTTCATAACATTTTCAAAAGTCACGTCAAGTGGCATAAGACAAACATTTTGTTACACACCTTTGAAGAATCCTACACTAGACGGAGTTTGTGCATTTTCTTTGCCAACGATGCAGTGTTTGGTGGTGAACATAGGGGCTCGGATCAAAGGTTCATACTGTGCTTCCTTTCAAAGTGCAGAAGTTCAAGTTTGGTTTTGGCCAACAGCCATGGAATAGAGGAAAAGCAATCAGCTTTAGCAGAGAAAACACCACTAACTTTCTTAACCTACATGAAGTGACAATTATGTGAACTTGTGAAGCAGTTTTGACAATGACTCAAAAAAGAAAGAAAACCAAAAACAAAAACCAGTAGGCAATATTCTAGGTGGTTCTCATTCCACTCACTTCATCTGTGGCAACTGTCTCTAGCCTGGGTCTGATTTTCCTCTATCTATGGACTTGCCTGCAGAGGGGCAGTAACACATATCTTTAACTTCTATAAGCATCACATTGACATCCTCCTACAGGGCAAACACTAAGGTGTTTCCTGGAGGTTGTAAGATTTAAGTGATATCAGTTTCTGGAAGGCTGAGGCTGGGTCCACCACATTCTGAACACACCAATGTGGGGGTGAAATCACATGTGAAGATAATGCGCTTCTTAGTCATTTTCTGTTCCTGAGTTCAAAGAGGCATAGAAGAATGATTTTCTTCAAAGAACAGCCAATCAGTCCTCTGCTTTGAGTTGGAACCAATCATATCCAGATGAAATGATAAATCACTTTAAACAAGGCACTGACAACTTTTTATAGTAAATTAAACTATCTGAGCAGAGGATGGCTAGCGATGTTCTCTTCTTAGCAACATGACTAAATAGTTTGGATTTCCAGAATCTAGATTTTGTTCTGAGCTTGCATTTATCTAACATGTGAACCATTTGAACTACTGTTCATCCAATATTTGGATCCTCTGGAATTACCTTGTCAACAAGCTGAGAAAAAATATGATCATGTTTGAAATACTGGCCTCATATTTCTGAGTAAATTTGGTAGAATGAATCTTCTTCCCCACCCAATAAAATTGTTAGTTTAAAAATGCCACAGAGTGGTTGTCTATCTCCACTTTTCTCCTTCCTGGTTCTTAACTAGTTACCATCCTCATGCCAACAAAGTAAAATGTATTTACTTAAATGATAATTGGTTTTGACTCTGGTCATGGGTAAGAAGCTTGATTGTTTTCTATGGCAAACTTATATGATCTTTTGAAAATACTATGTAAGACAGCCTTCACTAGGAACTATATACTTTGTGTTAGGCTTGAATTTGGTTTTGATGATGCTCTAAGTCCCTTGGCAGAGTGAAACTATATTTACAAATGAGAACAGGTCTCCAATTCTGATGCTTCAGTAACATGAACCAAATCTGTGACAATGCAACATATGACCACTGAATCAAACTTTGATCCACCTGTTCAAAAAAATATGTATGGGGCACCAGTAACATAAGTCATTAAATAGGGGGTATGAGCCCTGGCCAGTTTGAGAATCAGCCTGCAGTCCAGAGAGATCCGGGTTTGATTCTCGCTAGGGGCACGTACCTGGGTTGCAGTTTGTCCCCGGCCTTGGTTGGTCGTACGGGTGGCAGCCACTCGATGTGTCCCTTTCACATTGATGTTTCTCTCTCTCTCTCTCTCTCTCTCTCTCTCCCTCCCTCCCGCTCTGTCTGAACAAAAATGGAAAAAAATGTCCTCGGGTGAGGATTAAAAAAAGGAGGGGGTATGAAATAGTCATTTTAGAGATTCTGTGTTTTTCGCCTTCCTATAAAATGTTGGTGCACTGTAGGGTTGATAGATGGTGACTAGTCTAGAGAAAACAATGCTGGGAACCACTTGCAAAGAATTTAAATGAGACTAAAGCCATTTCCTAATGAAAACCAGCCAAACGTTAACTATATCCAGAAATAATCCTAAAAATTAAACTGTGATTAATGTCATTTGACATCAGTTTCCTTTAGGGGGATTCAATTGCTTGGTGCAGCATCAAGTATTAATTTAGAATTGTGCTTCTTGCAGTAAAAGGAAAAAGAAAAGAGAGAATAAAATGGCCACACAGAAATGAAAAATGCGACAAGTGTCCCCAGGGTTTGGCAGGAATCCCAAATGCTCCAGCCTAAAGAGCTGCCGTAGGAAGGAGGTCCCCATGGAGTGGTAGATGTCCCTGTGAAAGCCTCCTGCCATGAGGCGGGGCATGAGGTGAAATATACACATGAGCAAGAGCTCTACAGTGACAGGAAAGCAAAGTCACTCCACAGATTATAGATGAAGTTGTTCTAAACCATCTGACACCTGTTAAGTGAAAAGAAGGGAGAGAGAAAAAGAAGAGAGATACAGAGAGAAAGAGAGAGAGAAGACAGAAAAGCCAGAATGATTTTTCTTTGAATAGAATGCCAGGGAAAGATATGAGGGGATTTCTTTGCAGTGATAATAGAAAAGATGTATATAATCAACAACATGAAAATTCTGTTGTAGATAAAAGGTGTTTTCCCCAGTCATTATACTAAATTGATTCAAGACCAGAGTTGATGTCATTTAGAAAACATTTTCCTTGAAATCCAGTGATGCTTTTTAGAAATATTAGTTTCCTCCTTGCCTCGGGGAACTAGAATGACCTTTTAAGCTTAGAAAATATTGAGGGCAGGGATCCAAAAGAGCAGCCAACATGAAACACAGTGAGAACATTTTTGTTATAGGAAAGTGATGATATGGGTTGAAGTATGCAGTGAAAGTCCAATCCAGGAACAATTTGGAAACCATCTGGCTACATCGTACCTCCAGAATGTGGACTTGGAGTAGAGACAGAACAATCCACACAGCACACAAGGAATGCAGGCGATACTACCTGAACTCCCTGCTGCAAAGACCTGAAGAGCATTCCATTGCAATCTACCAGGCCTCCCAGAGCCCACCTGCCATTTAAATTTTAATTTTAGAGCCATTTTTGCAAATCTGGAGATAGGAGGAGATTTTGAACTTAATATTACCAAACATTAAGATTTTCCCAACACTTTATGAAACTATTTCTTCAAATTGGATAGGGAAAAAAACACACATATGCTAATAAGTCTATGTTCCTCAGTGCCCATATAATACATTTTCACAGATGCACAGATCTGAAGATTTGTTGATCAATAACAACATTTTTCAATGTCCACCCACACCTTTATCACAACGCCCTGAGGCATTAGGTGAAGACTTTCAATCTTGTTTCTACTTTCAATAATTATCCAAACAATTGTCATATGTTATGTATCAGTTGTTGGTTAATAATTTATCTTCTTTTTTGTTTTTCCTACTGGGGACCACTATGAATCGTATAGCACTCTGAAATGCTCAGGACCACAAGGATCATTAAAAACCTTACTTCCAGATACGCTGATTTCTCAAGGTACATCTTGAAATGCTGTCGCCTCCATGCAGGGAGCAGTAGGAGTTTGTGGATGGGAAGGCAACACTAGATTAAAACCAAAAGGCACCAGAGCTAAACTCTCCTCCTCACCTGGCCCAGAGGCAGGCAGCAGCTCACCATGTACAGCGATGGGCAGCAGAAGCGAGTTTTACATATCATTAATGCTCTTGGTAGGGGCATATGGCCACACATTAGTTCTATCAGAAAGATGGGAAATAAAAGCTGGCTTTCATTAAACATCAGTTCTCTCGTTACTTTCCATAACATAGTAAATTACAAAACAGTTGTTTTTAATTCTCTTTCAGTACTTTCAATACTTTCTTCAGTGGCATCATTAATGTTCAAGACTTTTTCTTTGCAGGGAGAAAGGAGGTGTAGAGTCTACCCAAATGCTAAACAAATGATTATTTTACAGACCGGCTCTTCAGGACAGTATGATGGACGAGACAGGTAGGCATCCAGGCCAACTGTGTGACCAGGAGCTCCCTGGAATGGCATGAAATCAGGAGTCAGAATAAGGCCAGTTTCACAGCAACCACGGAATATCTTCCCCTTTGTGGTGTCTGTGCCTCTGCTCTTTCCATTTACCTGAGTGGTAACACAGGAACTGCATCAAGACCAAGAGTGGAGTATCTTGGGCTTCATAAATCACCTCTATAGATACAAGCCAGGTTGCATCCTGGGCTTCCTCAGGCAAAAATCATTTCATATCCACACACAAGTTGCTTCTAAGAATTCCACAGTATTCTCCAGATTGGGAAGATGGGCGCTCCATGGTGAATCACTGCATGGCCACGTTCACACTCTTCATTTTATCAATATGATGGACCTAAGCCTTCCATGTGCGTGTGTGTTAGTAAGAGCTCTCTCATATAAAGTGACTGTTGAATTGAAACACATGAAGATTTATGCTCAAGAGCAAGAAGAGGCTGCTAGTTCTAAAGACTCCTTCCAATGTAGGTGGTACATTTATCAAAAAGCTCAAGGAAACAATTGACTTGTTAGAAAAATGGACTGAATGCAATAATAATAATAATAAAAATCCACACCATGGCTCATTCAACAATGATCAGATATTATAGACCAGATTTTCACAATGTCCTATTTAGACTTTGTTAACTTTAAGGATGTCTGTTTTTGGTAGCAATGGGACACTCTTAGCTTGAAATGCACTTGAAATGTATCCAAACTTCATCTCTGAAGTCTCAGAAACATGGGCAGTCATGGATCACAGGCCTTGAGGAACTGGGGAATTACAAGAAGCCAAAATATAAGCACTATTAGTACTCATCATAATTATTGAGATCTGTAAAGTAGGCATTAGAATAAGTCTTCCCAGTGAGATGTGGGTTGAAGTATTTGTTTCTTTCCTCTAGGATTAAGTTGTTTTTATTAAATGCCTGTAAAACATAAAAGAAATATTTAAGCAGTATTTCAGAAAGAGAATATAACTAGGAGATGATGATGTTAAATTCGAACTCTCTGCTAAGGTCCCATTACTGGAAAATATGTTTTCTCACTTACCAGCTTCCTAACGTTATTGGTTTTACTGAGGATTTGCCTTATCACTAGAATGCGGCTGATAATTTTGACATCTCCCAGTCTATATCTGAGTTTGAAGCAGAAAATTTCCAAGAGCTAGAAAACCTAAAACTAAACCTCAGGGAAAACTAAAACTATAGTGAATTCAAACTAACAAACACTTGGAATGTTATCACATATACCTGAGTAAATATTTAAGCAGTTTTCTTATTACCTTGGATAGGTACCATGACAAGACATTTTGATGGAATTCATTTAAGTAAATGCATGGAATTTCAAATGACTTAATTTCTTTTCCTTTTCTGCACTTGTAAGGTGACTACTGCAGGCACCTTGGACAGGATGTTCTTCCTTTTTAATAGTCACTAAAGCCACTTACACTACAGTTGTCCCTACACGCTTGGACTTTCGCGGCTTCACTCTATCTTGGGGGACGACTGTGTATAAATAAAGAATCCTACTTCCCGGAAATTCGTTTATCGCAGTAGAGTCTGGAACTGATTAACCACGATAAACGAGAGCTGACTGTATAGCTGAATTATCCCAGGTGGAGGACAAATATTGGGAGAACCAAACTAAAGTTGAAGGATTGTAGGCTGAGGCCAACTGTCCATGACTAGTGTAGGCAAGGCATCAGAAGAAAGTTCTAGAAGGATTTACTAGTCACTAGGCAGTAGTCAGTGCTCTCAGGTCCTTGTCCTCAGAGCAGCAAGATTTCTGATGATTTTAAGTGGCTCCTGGATCTTAAGAAGACCCGTTAGCTTATCTTCAGATGCTAGAAGTGTTAAGAGTGGCCACAGATAAGCTGAGTGGGTTGGAATCATGTTTAGAGAAGACTCATTCTTTGGTTCTGGACTGTTTGAAAGGTTCTTGCTCACAGAAGGAGCCCATGTTCCTCCTCATACTGGGGAGCTCAGTTCTGAGAGGATGTGAGGGGGTGTTAATTACTGGTGCTTCGCTCCCCACCTCTGCCATTAGACTAGGATAAGGTGCTGATGGACTCTGGAGGTGGTATGAGCAGAGTCTGTGGCTGAAAGTCATTGGTTTTGTCTCTAAGTGGTGGAGAATGCAGGTCTCATGGCCAGTGGGGAGGGAGGTGGTCGAGCGAGGACATTGGCTCTTAGGACACAAGATCTTTCAACCATCTGATGCTGAAGATATTCAATAAACCCACATGGGAAGGAAATCAAATTTCAAAGAAACCATCATAGCATAGAGAGTGCATCAAAATACTCCCTAAGAATGTTAAAGGGAACCACCACCTGAACAGGAATACCAAAATACATATGACTGAGCTCATGAGAATTTCCTTCATTCACGTGGGTAGCAAGGAAGGTCAGGTGCAGTTGACAAGAACAGACAGGGCCCTAGATGTCTTTCCAGTAGCACCCCTGACCTCCTGTGTAGACACAATGAGAACAACAGCTACTATTTGCTGGGTGCTGGGCCTCAAACATCTTAATCCATTTAAACCTCACAACAGTAATAGGAAATACATATTGTTATATCCACTTAAAGATGAAGATACTGAGGTTCGAAGAAGTAACATGTACTCTAACCCATGATGCAAAATGCCTCAAATTACAACTACATTTATTTTGCCCAGCATTGTCCAAGGCATTTCATATAAATTACCCCCATTCGATGTTCATTATTTTCAATTTATTGAGAAGAAAACAGAGGCTCAGTGAGTGTGAATAACAGCAGGTAAGTGACTCATGAGCCTGGGTCTGCCAGCTCCAGCACCCTTCCCACCCTTTATTCCTGGGAACGAGGAGGAGACTGGTTATTTACTCTGGACTTTGGAGCAAACACTAGGTTAATCACCCATTGGGGCAATTTACAAAATCCACCAGTCACACAGCTCTTTTACATCACACAGAGCTTCACTGCTTGAAAATTATTTGAAGAATGTCTTTATAATACTGTAACAGTTTTTCTCAGATTCCCATCTGTGATTCTGAAATGAGCCTGTATATCTGATTGCCCAAGCCTGGTCCTCATTACCATTGCCCAGCATGTATGGGTCCTCAGCCTGGGGGCTTCTCTTTGGCATAACCTCCTTTTGGATGCAGAAGGCATAGTGGGCAGAGTTGGACACCGGCCAATGCCCCAATATTTTTCCAGCATTCTATTTGTTGCTGTTTCCATGTCCCATTTTTAACTACAATCCCAATAGGAGATGCCATCTTTTCACAGGCAAAGTAAAGCTAAAAAGGCAATTCATCACACACCAGAGTCTGTTACCTTGTCCCCACTGTGACACCTGTGCCACTGCCATTGTGCTTTGCCAATAGCCCAGGGTCCCCCTGCCTTCTTTGCACATCTGGCTGCTGCATTTGCTGCCCATCCCTTACCTTGATGGCCTCCACAGAGTCATACTTGTCCAGTTTGTTGATGTGGTTGGTTATGCTGGTGTTGAGAGGGGCAGGTGCAATGGGGTGGATGACAGTGGCATCGTGAGACTGCTGCTGGTACCGCTGGCAGTAAGTGTAGACGAGGAGTGTAAGCAGGCAGCCCAGGATGGAGCTGCTCAGCCCCACAGCGACCATGTGGAACATGTTGAACTCTGGGAAGACAGCATCGAAAGTGATGCCACACTGGAAAGGAACACGCTACGCAACAGCTCAGTGCTTTGGCGAAAAGAGAAAGACGAAATGGAAAGCCCTACATCCATTCAAAATTAAAGAAGTCATATGCCCCTTGCCCGTATGCCAATTCCTGCTAAATGCCATGGCCACCAAGACACTTCTGCAAAGCGAGCACAGTATATTTTAAGTCAAAGCAAAGCATGACCCTCAGACTTTTGGAGATCACCTTAATACACTAGTAGGATCTTTTTTTTTAAGGGCCATACAAGAATGTTCTTCTGTTTCAAGTGGAGCACGCTCTACGGTCTCTGGGGTTTCTAGTAAACGTGCTCTTCGGGCTCCTGGACAGGCTGGAGACCCTGCAGGCAGCAGAGCTGTGTCCCTCCCTCAAAGGGATGGTGCATTTACTGCTCACCTGCAAGCCAGACTATTTCTCCCCTTTCCTTTATTATTTTATTTTATTTAAAAATGTGTTCCACTTACATAATTCTTATGTTTTTCATTACATTTTTATTATGAATATAAACACATTATATAACATTAGAAAGTGTAAAAGGGAATACAAGAATAACAAGTCTTATTCTTTCCCAGAGGGACTACTATACCCACTTTCTGATGTGCTGTTTCCAAGATTCTCTGCACACTTCTGTGCTATGTGTGTGTGTGTGAGTGTGAGTGTGTGTGCATAAATATTATCCCGAGTACCATTTTTTAAATTTACATTATATTTTGGAGATCTTATAAAGAAAGTGGAGTTCTTACAAAGAAATAAAGGACTTGTGTCAAAAGAATAAAATATGATATTTTAATGGTCATAAAATGACTCTTTTCTTACATATTTTTCTGTTTGATAGAATCTTTGAGTTATTTTCCTTGAGTTGTGAGTACAAAGCATCAACAAAGTGAATGGGCATGGATTTATGACTGCAATATAGCAGTGGTTTGAGTGACATCAGGTAACATAACCAAGACCTGCATAAAGTCTGAGAAACAACAGCAAGAAAAAATAGGCTCTCATGGTGTGTTTGTAAAACACTTTACAATGAGCATTTCAAGCCTTTCAGGGACTAAAGACAACACTGGGCAGCGCTGGTGAAGCTGGGCTTAGGGAAAATTAGGTCAAATGGAGCACGACCTGACTTCTTCTGCTGTGTTGGCCCAGGTGACTAGCCAGTCGTTTGTGGGTTACTGGCCTGACATGTTTCCCCTGCACAGGACCATCCTGAGGACCTGGCTTTCCCACAGGGTGTCCTCTCCATTGTCCACCAAAGGGTGCAATGTCACATAAGCTCAAAACCTCCTCCCTCCCCAGTCTGTCCACACTGCCCCAATGGAACCAGTGGAGATGCCTGCTGGGTCCCACCAGCAACTCCAGGAGAGTCTGCAAAGCTGCAAAGCAAGGCCCCTGGGGCTCTGAGGAAGAGGAGACCTGCAGGTCTTCCCCCACCCCCAGGTCCTGGGGTACTTGCACCGTAACTACCCAGGCTCCCCAAGGACTTTTCAAGCAGCCTTCACCTCACCTGTGATCCACAGCTGAACCGAGTTCTCTCACCTGTCCCTAACCCTGGACTTCTCCCTCTAAACTGGATCCCTTTACTGTGTTCCAGGGCCCTGGGGCCCTGAGAGTGGATCCTCTTTCCAAGGTGGACGGACACTGTGCTGTGGCTTCCTCCTCGGTTTGCTGTGAGCGCAACCAGCACCTCCTACCCGCACCAAGACTCCAAACGACCTGACATTCCTACGGCAGGTGTCCAGTGTCTTCAGTGGGGTCCAGATGATCCACCAGGATGTTACTAGAACATTCCCCAGGTCTCACCAACTCCTACCATACACCTCAGTTTTTCACTTCTTGATTATTTGGCCAATGATTTGACAATGTGAAAGGACTTCATAAATCTTTGGCTTTTCCCGATTTTGCCTGAAGCCTCTAAGGCTGGACAGCTCCCAACCAGGGACAAGTGGATAAAGCACCTGGGTTGGTCCATCGGCGACCACTACAGGTTTCACTGTAACACAGAAGCTGTGCTCTGGGTACCAGGCATTGTTGTCATGTCTTCACACTTTAGGGTTTGGACTCCCTGGGGTCAATGCCAGGTAGAGATATAAGTACTTTCTGCTGCACTGATAGCTTATTTTATTGTAACACATGAAAGATGTACGACTCTATCCATATGCAGATATTTTGTCATTAGTCAAATGAATCGTTCCTGCAGGTGCCCAAGGAAGGTGGGGACCACTGACGTCTTTCTGTCGACTGTATAGTCTGAGTCTTAGATGCAACTAAAAATAGCTCTCGAAGATGAAAATTTTCAATATACCGACTTTTTTTGGGGGAGGGGGTTGTTTGTTTGTTTTTGTTTTTTGCATAAGGGCAAAATAGTGCCTATTTAATCTCTGAAATTTGCTTAGTTTGACTCTTTGCTTTAAATATACTTTTTTTTTTTTTTTTTGCTCTGATTTTTGGTCAGTAAAACTGGAGTAGAGGCCAATTACCCAGTTGGTTCAACTGCCTGATTTTCTGTGCAAAAAGGTGATTGATTTTTTGCAACAGACTAAAAAAATAAATCCATGTTATCGCCCTAAACATCCTTGTGAGGTGATTGTTTTTACCTACCAGCCCAAAATCAAATCCATCTGACCTCTTGCCCAACTATTCTCTTGTGTCAATGTCAGCAGCCTAAACATCTAAACAATTAGTTTTAAATATTGTAGAGTAATTAAAGTTTCTATGATTCAATCAATAGCGCCTCAAGGCTTGATTCTGTGTAGCCATTTGGCACAGCTGGCCCAGACACGCAGAAGCAGAATTGTAGAACCGCAGTGGGCTGTGCATTACGTTCTTCTGGGTCCTCAAAGTCTTGGAAGGACTCCCCTCTCCTAACACCGAGAAGGCCTGCCAAGGACAGTGGTGTTCACACTTGTGGCAGATAGATATAAAGGACCTGCTGACTCTGCAGAGACATCAGCTGGTGGTTCCCTCAGGACAGGATCACTCCCTACAAATGCCACTCGCTCTAGACCTTCACTGCCTCTGCGTGCACCAGACCTCCCTGGACCTGGGGCGTTGTCCAGGAGTGTCACCTGCCCAAGGCATCTGTGGCTCCAGCTCCCCAGACACAATCCTCCTGGACCGTTCTCCTGTGGGGTCCAGAGCTTCAAGCTCACTGCGATCCCACTGCCTGGGTCCGACCTGGGCTCCACTGCTGACTGCCGGTGTGACCTTCAGGCAGGATCTCGTCTCTCTCTGTCTACTTATAAAATGCGGATAAAAACCCATGGCTGATAACACTTTTCTACAATTCCCAAAACCAAAATCTCTGAAAAGTGGTTTTATATCATTTACCTGGCAGCAAAGCATGACCTGACCTGACCCGGTTGTGAAGCACTGACCAGAACGGCCAGGAGAAGCATCAATATATTCCTTTCACCCACATGTCATCGCAGCATCATTACAGGAATTGGCCATGAAGTGTGGCCCCCAGACCCTGCAGGGGCATCATGTAACATACAGGACATGCCACATATGACCAATCTACAATCTGAAAGTCTTCAATTCCAAAACCTTCCTTATCTCCAATTCTGATTTTACATAAAAAAGTGTTGGCTCTGGCACCTATAAATGCTCTTTGTGAGGACCAGATAGGTTGCTTCGTGTCACTTAATACAGTCTCTGAAACATAGTGAGTGATGTCAAAATATGAAAGAATTCTTGTGATTATTTTTCTTTTTTTGAATTTCTTTTTCCTTTATTGATTTTAGAAAGAGAGGACATGAGAGAGAGAGAGAGAGACAGAAACATCGATGAGAGAGAACATCAATTGGCCGCCTACTGCATGAAGCCCACTGGGGATCGGGCCCACAACCTGGGCATGTGTCCTGACCAGGAATCGAACCAGCAACTTTTTGGTGCATGGGTTGATACTCAAACACTGAGGCACACTAGCTGGACTGGATATTTTTCTTTTCTTTTTTTTTTTATCCTCACCCGAGGACATTTTTTTACTTTATTTTATTTTTTTGATATTTTGTTCAGATAGAGTGGGAGGGAGAGAGAGAAAGAGAAACATTGACGTGAAAGGGACACATCGAGTGGTTGCCACCCACACAACCCAACCAGGGCCAGGGACAAACTGCAACCGAGGTACACGCCCTTAGCGGGAACCGAACCCAGGTGTCTCGGGACCGCGGGCCGATGCTCTAACCGCTGAGCCAAACCGGCCAGGGCTGGATATTTTTCTTTAAAGTGGCACCTATTCATCTTACAGCTGGATCCCAAGTTAGTGACTGCCAATCTGTGGATTCAATGAGCTGACCCAGGCCCAGAACCAGACATTGTCCATCTGAAGATACAACTACCAGCTCTAGAAGGGCTGGGCTCTTTCTGTCCCCACTGTAAGCTCAAAGTCCCTTATAAAACTAGCACAGAGTGGGTGCTCAGCAAAGACCACTGAACGAATGGATTCAGTGAATCCATTGAATAGATGGCTGACCAAACAGAAAGAATGTAACAGATAGTGAACTCATGAAATGTAAATATATTCCTAAAGTATGCCTAGAAGCTCCAGATTCCATCTGAGCATACACTGAGTTGTCTGGGACTACCCTGGTGGACAGATTATGGTAGAAATGGTTATCAATAGGTCATCAGCCTATGAATACACACATATTACAATGACTATCTTGGTGTGGATTTTAGCTTTGATTAGCTAAAATCAAAGGAGGACAGAGACTGCCCTGGCCGGTTTGGCTCAGTGGTTGGAGCGTCGGCCTGTGGACCAGAGAGTCCTGGGTTCAGTTCCCGCTAGGGGCACATACAAAAAAAAAAAAAAAAAAAGGACAGAGACTAAGCTTGGATCTTGGATATATGGACAGTCAACCCCGCCCACCCAGAAGAGATAGACATGGACAGTAAATTTGAAACATACTCTAGAGATAGAGGTAGAACATTATGCCCCTTATAATTTTGACATCCCAGCAGTCTGGAGATTTGAAGCTGACTGCCAGGAATTTGCACTGCAAATATAAAAAAAATATTTGAATATTGTTTTACTCATGGGAACTCCAATATCTATATTTAGTATCTACATAGTATCAAGATACCAAGATCACTTGTTCATGAAGCTCAGCCTTCACCAGAAGCACCTGAAGAAGGGCTTATTAAGCCATGGAGTGCTGAGTCCCACTCAAAGAGGCTCTAATTCTGTAAATCAAGGTGTGGCCTGAGAATCTGTATTTCTCTTAAGTCCCCAGGTGATGCTGATCTGGGAACCCCACTTGAGAACCACTAATATAGATGTCAAACACTGACTCCTAGCATTTATACTACCAAAGCATAAGGTGCTTGGGATCCAGATTTCTCCAGTCTGTTTCTGAAACATTATTTGGCCAATAGCAGAAAATATCAGAAATCAATTAGAATGTAGTTAAAAGAAAGAACTTACCTCCACACCTTTTCTCTTCTACGCTACTGGATCTAGCCACAGATACTTCTGGGGAAAAAAAAAATCCAACCACAATGTGTAAATGGTATGGGGAAGAAAGATCACATTGGCAATTCATTTACAAAATGTCTAATGATATTTAGTTTTATGTGAGTCAAACTTCCAAAAGCCTGATCTTTAAAAAAAAAAATATATATATATATATATATATATTTTTTTTTTAATCAACCTGAGCTATATTTGGTCAAGGTCATCTTGATTGGGAAGGGTGAGACTCATCATCACAGATAGAAAATGCAATAGTCCTCTGAGCTAAAACCAGGGCACCAGTTTCAAAGGAGGCCAGACAATGTGCAGATTTTCTGTTAGAATCCATTCCGCCAGCTGTGGAACCCTGCAGTGTCTGCCTGTGGTGTTCCTGCCTCAGATCTTTTGTCTCATCAAAGCCCATGTTGTCATATTCCCTACAGAGGGGTCCAATCCACCAGAGCTGCAAGGAAATGGCCAGGACAAATACAGTCCCCACGCATACCCTGCCATGCTCCATGTGCCACACCAGCGTGAGAAGTCCACCTATACAGTGAAACACTATTTCAGGAGGCCAGAAACGTTCTTCCCCTATACTGATTTTTTTATTAGATAACAAGAGTTAAAATTGTATCTCTGATTATAAAGGAAAACAACAACAATAAACATTGCAGTTTCCTACCATATATGACTGAAATGGCCTATAGGGCTAAGGCTAATACTTTTCTCTAAAACATTATCATGGAGGAAAATGAGTTATTACCTATTATTGTTTTGTAGGAGGTTGGTCTCTGCTTTGGTCCACATCTCAGTCCTAACCCACACAGTGGGCATTTGTGAAATGATGTAATAGTTTATACACCAGACCTACAGTGAGCAGGTGACAGGTGACTACCTACCACTGATAACTAAACATCAATTTGACATGGAAAAGCCAGTGGCAAGAGGATCAGTCACCCCTTCTCCAAGATAAGAACATGATGGGTTCCTCTTCACCAAAAACATGAAGGTTTCACAAAGAGAACTCCCCTTTTTCTCTCTGCAAACACGTGCACACAAGCATTGCCAAGACATTTTCCTTAATAATTAAAATAACCAAATATGCCACTTTCACTTTTTGAGCAAAATCTTCTGCACATGCTACCGTCAATAAATTATAGAAGACAATTCTGTGCTAAAACTATGTCTATGGTTAAAAGAATCTTAAAACTCACAGCCTACATTCAAATCAAAACCTGTGGTTATGTATAAATCTACATTTTAACCACTCTGACACTACAAGAGTTGATGGAATCATCTCTGTTTTACCAAAAGGGATCCCCAAGAAAAGTTAAAACTCTAACGGATGACCTATTTCCTCGTTGAATGTGGGCAGTGATTTTGCTCACACTCTGCTCTTACCTGGGATGAAATTGGAATCAAAAATACATGGCCGGCTCTCGGTGGTGTTTCCAGAACACTGGCTGCCCACAGGGAACAGCAGGATGCACTGGCGGGCACGGACCTGGACTCCGGATACATCACACTCAGACCAGTCTGACCACTCCGACCAGCTCTCTGCAGGGACAGACATGGGGAGAGGAGGCAGCAAGGCCACTAAGATCAATCAACCTGGAATCAATGTCACATTACAGATAGGACTGGAAGTCCTCCTATCAGATTTAATGGGTCTGTATATAAATAAGATGTACTCCTATCTCTTAAAAGTCCCATAGATAAAATACACATGAGCATGAATAAAACAACTGGTATATCACCGACCTGAAATAATGCACCTGAATCACATTTGCTGAAACCACATTATTTTAATGCTTTAAAGTAATTGAATTAGACACTCAATAAGCTAATCAATGATATCCAGCTGTGCAGACCATCAGTGGCCAGGGAGCAGAAATCATCCGGACAGATACCTTTTCCACCAGGGCAATGCTTCTCTGCAAGGCAGCCCCCAAAGGCTTTCCTGAGGAAGTGCCCCGGCTCCACGCTCAGGCGAGAGCAAAAGCGGTGTATTCACGAGAAAGCCTGGTTCTGCATTCATGAGAACCCCACACTGCAAGCGTTCTCTTATAAAAACAGACCTGCAGCCTCAAGATGCCAAAGTTGGGCTATACTTGAGGTACAAGTCATTTCATCCCATGTTTGCTGTCACGGAAGCTCATAAGATCAGTGCACAAGTCTTGAGTAGAGGCCAAAAATTGAGTGATCAAAGGATACTTTACCCTGCAGTGGAAGATCTGCCAGGATTTTTTTAAATTCACCTAGGACCGCAGCTGTGTGGTAGGCAAACTCATATTTGAAGTAAGAAGTTTACAAAAATGAACTTTTAATATTATTTATAAAATATTAATCAACATAAAAATATTTTTCTAAGCAATGTTCTTTTTCCCCCTTATTTTAAATGCAAGATATAAGCATCATCTTTGCACTTCAGGGCAAGTTTGGAAATCAAACGTGAGCCTTGATCCAATGGGAAGAGAGATCCAAGGAAAGGGGACAATTTTCCTTTAGAAATCTGTTAAGTGCCAGTTTTCAGAATGACTATGATCATTTGTTTCTAGGCACTTTTCAATATAAATGGAGCTAAAGATCTGCAGGAGTAAGTTAAAAAAAAAAAAAGTAGAAATGTCTCAATGTGAAAGTTAGGTCTCATTTTCATTCCAGTGGTCCTCACACGTCAGAAAACGAAGCTAACTCCTGGATGGGGAGGCTGCAGACGCTCATCCAGTGGGCACCAGGGTCAGCCAGCCCAGGGCTTGGACACCCCAACCCCTGGTCCTGAGGCCCGTTCCTCTGAGGCCGCTTCGCAGATCATCTCCATGCTCCCCACCCTGATTTTCAACAAAATCTCAGATTTCATTATGTGGTTAAATGTTTTACAAAGACTTTGTTATAATCAGTTTCTGCTACGCATTCTGAAACTACGGTAGGGTGAGAACCACTTTACTGCAGAAGGCGTGTTATGAAGCCACTTCCAGGGGGACAGTTGATGGTCCCCTCTTTCAGTCCCCGTGATGTGGCATCATCGATTTCACCGTCTCTAAATCACCATCTTTGTCCCACCGCTTACCCGGGCAGGGCTGCGTGTTGCAGAGTGCCTCCTCAGTGTGCAGCCCTAGACAGATGTCTCCGCCGTAGGCTGGGGCGGGGTTTGTGCACGAGCGGGTCCTCATATAGTGTCCACCACCACACGTCGCTGAGCATTTTGACCAGGGGGACCAGCAAGACCACATGCCATCCACTGGGAAAAGACACAAAGTCACATTGCTTCTGAAATGCAAATCTGACCAATCAGATGAGGCCACAGTGAGAATGTGCACAGCATGACCAATGGCCAGCCAGCTTCCCTTATTAATTGGATTATAGTTTGCTCCAGGACAGGTATAAAGAAAAGGCAACAGGTCCTGTGAAGAAGGACTGTGGGGACGCTCCATAGATATAGAAACTAAACAACTAAACTAAGTCTGTACCATGCAGACTTGATGGTGTGTTTATGTGAAAGACTAAACAGACAACCTGTTGCCTGCAGCCAGACTGCAGGGTGGATGTGAAGGTGAATTTTGTACCTCTAACATTAGGCGGAGCTGGTTCCTGATGAACCCTTACCATGCCTGTGACCCCCCGCATTTTTCCTGCTTTCTCCAGGCTGGGTTTCTGATGCCTGTGGACAGGCCTCCTGAGCTCTGGGTCAGCTAACCCACCTGGATCTTGGTGCTCCCTCCTACATTAGCTGACATTGTTAAACTGACACCTCAGGCCAGCTTCTGTCTGACACTGTCAGATGGGATCTGCTGTTTGTTGAACTCCTGGCTGACCCTCCCTCTTGTCAGCTAGACCTGCCCTATCTTACTGAGTCCCAGAGCCAAGCTGCAGGCCTTTGTCAAGATGACATTAGACCCCAATTAGCAAAAAATAATCATAACCTCAGAAAATGACATAAAAATGCTGACGAGAGACTCACTTTTACAATAAGAAGATAATATCATGTTTTATTTTCTCCGGATCCTACATAAAACAAAACAGAAGCATCCAGGAAAAGGAATGCCAAAATCGTTAAAAACACAAGGCTAGCCCAGTTGGTGTGAGCTGGGCATTGACCCATGCCCAATCCCCAGTGGGGAGCATGCAGGAGGCGGCCAATCAATGTTCTCTCTCATCGATGTTTCTATCTCTCTCTCCCTCTACCTTCTTCTATCTCTAAAATCAATAAAGAAAAAAAAAAAAAAGACACAGGCTGTTTTGGCTAGAATGACCTACTTTATATTTAAATACACACCTTGTGATTTAATACACTTTTATGGAGTAATATGTCTCTTTAGATATAGACATGGGTAAAAAGAAAACATTTTTGAGACATATGAGCAGAAACATCATGATTTTTTTGTTTTTACTTCATTTTATTTTTTTTCATCCTTACCCAAGTACACTTTTTTGCATTTATCTTCAGATAGAGCAAGAGGGAGAGAGGGAGGAAAAGAGAGAGAGAGAGAAACATCGATGTGAGAGAGACACATCGAGTGGCCGCCACCCACACGACCCCAACCAGGGCCGGGGACAAACCGCAACCAAGGTACGTGCCCTTATCTGGAACTGAATCCAGGACTCTCCAGTCCATGAGTCAACACTCTAACCGCTGAGCCAAACTGGCCAAGGCAGAAATATAACGTTTATGATGATATTTTAATTTGCAAAAAGTAAAAAGAGAGCAGAAAAATCATTTGACATGTAACTGGAAATTTTGTGTTTTGATCATTTACCCAGACTTGGAGAATTCAACATTTTCCCCAATAGGCAATAAGCATGTCAGAAAGTAAGAGAATGAATCAGATATCTGACATTAGTTGTAATTCCAGAAAAGGCAGGCAGGCACAGGTTTGCCTAGAAGTTTCAAACTTCCAAACGCCCAACGCATGTCTACTCTCAGAGGGCACTCTTTCTGGCAGTGTTTCTCTATCTGTAACTCGAGCTGAAGCTTGGTTTAAAGTGGGTACGTGTATATGCCCCACACTAAAGCAAAGGTAAGTCTAGTGCCTTAGAACAGCAGGTGTCACAGAGCTCAGATGTTTGAATGTACGCAAGGCAGTCTGGGGCTCAGGAGGGTCTAATATCTCATCTAGATTGGTGATGAAACTGGACTTAGAAGCAACCATGTCATCTGAAAATCCTTGGCTTTTCTATTACATAATGAACCTGCAGATCAATGGCCAGTAGGCATATGAAAAGATGTGTAAAATTATTAATAGGCAAAAAAAATACAAATCAAAACCACAAGGAGATATCACCACACACCTGTGAGGATGGCTATTATAAAAAAAACAACAGATAACAAACAGTAGATAATAGTATTGGCAAGGCTGTGGAGAAATTGGAATCCTTGTACCCTGTTGGTGTAAATGTCAAATGTTGCAGCTGCAATGAATAACAGCATAGTGGTTCCTAAAAACTTTTCTTAAATTTAAAAACTATCATGTGAACCAGCCATCCCACTCCTGGGTATATATCCAAAAGCATTGAAATCAGGATCTCAAAAAGATATCTGTATTTCCATGTTCATTCCATCATTCTTCACAATAGCCCAGACATAGAAACAACATAAACATCCATTGGCAGATGAGTGGATAGTGAACTTGTGGCATACATGCACAACAGGGTATTTCATTAAAATGAAGGAAATCCTGTCATATTCCAAAACATGGATGAATCTGGAGAAAATTATGCTAGTGAAATAAGCCACAGAAAGACACATACTGCATGGTTCCCCTGATTTGTGAAATCTAAAATCGTCAAGCTCATCGAGGTAGAGTTGGGGGAGGGGAAATTAAAGACATGCTGTCAACAGGTATGACGTCCCAGTCAGGTAGCATGAATCTGCTGTGCAAGACTGTGCCTAGAGCTAACAACACTGTATTGTTAACACACTTCAGTCTGAAGAGTCTGTCCCTCGTTAGCCTCTCACTGTTTCCTTCTCACTCCCACTTACTGTTTTTTATGAAAAAAGACAAAATGAACTATGTTATTTGAATCTCAGTACGATTTAGTAAACAGCACCACCTGTATATAGTCTCTGCCTTGGTCAGCCAAGGTCTGGAATCCTTAGTTCTGAATGAAACATGGACTGAAAAAAGGAGCAAAGGAGAAACAGCAAGCTATGTCTCAGGGTGCAGGTAAATTACGTAGGTGAAGGGACCAGAGGGATCAACCCGCAAGACGTTGAAAAAAATAACTTTACCTTGTTGCAATTTATCATACACGTTAGAACCGGAGATCAAATCTAAAAGATATTTTACATTCACCTAGTTTGCTTAGATTTATTTTCAAACTTAATCATAATGAGGCAGCTTTTTTAAAACTAAAATACAGTGCCCCTTTGCATGTGTTTACTATGGACTCAACAGGGCTAAGGGAGAGTAAATTCATAAGGAGGAGAATGTCTGAAATGTGGTAAAAATAGCCTATAATCGGACCTCCTCAGCGCTGAGCAGCTCTGCATCCAGAGCCCCGAAGGCCTCTGACCCTCCTTGATGGGTCACATGCTGTCACGTGATCAGGACTTTTCTAGGAGGTGGGGGAGAGAATTGACATTTGCCCAGTTCAGCCCTGGGAACCCACCCATGCCCAAGTGGAAAGTGAAGGGGCCACTCTGAAAGTTTCCACAACCCTCCAGGGGTGGGGAACCTATTTTCTGCCAAGGGCCATTTGGATATTTATAACATCATTCATGGGCCACAGAAAATTATCAACTTAAAAATTAGCCTGTTCTATTTGGTCAGGCTAATGGGGTGAGACGTATGATGTTGGCTGGTATTGATTCCTCTGGCCTTGTGGGGCCCTTGGTCCGGACGTTCCCCACCCCGCTCTATGGAATCTTGGCTTTCAGAAAGAAAATAAGGACAGAGCTATTTCAAGATAGTAAGGTTATATACACATGATATTGTCTTGACAATCAAATCAACTAAGATAAAAACAGCCACCAGATCATGCCACAATGGGTGTCTCTGACACGGGCACTTAGCCTGCCCTGAAGGACAGGGCAGCGTCCCGGCATCTGCTGACAGCCACGAGGACTCGTGTCTGGAGCCTGGGAAGTGAGAGTACACAGAGGGGTCCTGATGTTCCCATATCACCCTGCCTGCTCGGTTTACTGCACAAACCCTGATCTAATGATGCGGCCCCATGGGCATCCTCCTAGCCCTGGTGGGTGGTGGTGGTGGGCGGTGGGGAGGGGGGGATCCTCCACTCTCCGTGCTGGGGCTGTGGGAAAAAGCTGGCTCTGTGACCTTTCCCAACCCCTCAGCATCACTGGGCTGGGAAAGCTGGATGGTCAGAGGGAAGAGTCTCCTGAGGCTGGAGAAATCCTGGCAGAGACGGCTCAGGAAGAGCAGGACAGCTGCACCAGCAGGGACGTTACCAAGAGCCTCAGCTACAAAGCTGGGAACTGTGTGTTTTCAGTGTAATGTACATATTTACACACCCACCCCCTCGCCATCCATCCATCCACCTACCATTCATTCATCCATCCATGCACCTATTCATCCATTATCTATCCATCATTTTCCCACCATTCGCCAATCTATTTACCCATCCACCAAATGCTCACTGAGCACTGCTTCAAGTCAGTTTCTTTTTCAAAGAACTCAGCAAGTTGCTTATACCTATTGAAAAAGATGCTACACTTTCAAGCTTCTGTATCTTTGAAAACACTGTACCTGGTGTTTGGAATGACCACCCACCCCATTTCTGATACCTAAGTGTCTGCTTGGCCATCTCCTCTATCCCTCAAGACTCAGCTCAGGGGCAGCCTGCTCAGGGTAGCTGATTCCAGCTCAGTGGGTCCTTGGCTGATGTAACACCGCATCTTCTCACCAGCCCAGTAGCTGGTGACCATACTGGTTGGCATCATTCACAGGCTGCCTCCTTACTGAACTCCAGGCACCTTCTGACCTGGACCATATCACTGCACCTTTCTTTACTCTGTGAAATAGACTATGCAAAAATGTTTGCTGGTAAATTGAATAAATTTGCTTGCTTTCCCATCATTCAACAGTTACTGGTAGGTGTTCCTGGGGTGTGCCAGGCCCGTGCTGGGAGCTAGGGCAGCACACACCATGACCCTAGTCAAAGGCAGCACACACAGCTGGAGGCCAGCACTCAGGACGGCCCCAGGCATCAGGTGACAGGTCCTCTGACTAAGGGAAGGTGGGGCGGGGGGAAGTGATGAAGGTGAAAGGGCCCCACCCAGAGCTGGGGCCGGAGGGATGCAGACAAGACAGGGGTCCGTGGGGCTGTGTTAGCAGATAATGCCCTGTGTAGAGGACAGGGGCTCCCAAGGCTCTTTTAGCTCATTTTATGCACTCTGTGCTTGTTTGGGAATTCCGTGAAATGAAAAGCCAGGTCTCAGGAGGAAGACCCAGAAACACAGCTTCTGTTGGCCTCCAGGAGAGAGAAGTGGAGAGACTCCTGCTGACGGACTGGCTGGCTGGGCCCTGGTGAGTCACCCTTGATAACTGTCACCCTGGAACAGGAATCTGTGGTGAACAGAGGCAAGTTCCTGCAGGCCTGGGCCCATCAGAGCCTGGGAGGGGGTTAGCCTCCACTTTCAAGGACAGGACACCTCTCTCCTGACCATGGCAGTAGGGCTGACTTTTTCATTAGGCACAGTGCCTAGGGCCCACGATCCTCAGGTGCTCATAAGAATGTTTCCATTTCTATTAAATTGGAAGAAATAAATGAATATAATATAGCCTAAATTATATTTGTTTTTATACCAATGCAGTTGGAAAATACAATCTATGATTTATATATGTGCCTGTGAATTGTGTGTGTGTGTGTGTGTGTGTGTGTGTAAATATACAAGCATACCTCATTTTACTGTGTTTTGCTTTATTGGGCTTACAAGGTAGATGGCAAGACCCTTCACCAGAAAGATTACAATTTGCTGAAGGCTGAGATGATGGTTAGCATTTTTCAACAATGAAGTCTTTTTTAATTAAAGTATGTACAATGTTTTTTTTTTTTAGATATAATGTTATTGCTCACTTAATAGACTACAGTATAATGTAAACATAACCTTTATGTGCACTGGGAAGACAAAAATGTGTATGACCTGATTTATTGCATTATTTGCTTTATTGGAACTGAACCCTTACTGTCTCCAAACTATGCCGTTCTCTTTCTCTCTCTCATATACATGAGATAGAAACACAAAGCAAGGGCAGCTGGTTGAGCCTCACTAGACCAGAAGGTCGTCCAAGGCTCTTGATTTTTTCAGATCTTTTCCAGATTCCTCCATCCACTTACCTGGACAGGGCAAAATGTTGCACTCCTGGTACTCCAGGGATGGGCCCAGGCAGGGCATGCCCCCGTACTTGGGCTCAGGGTTGTTGCAAACCCGCTTCCGGTTCCGAATGCCCCTGCTACAGTCGCGGCTGCACTGTGACCACGATGTCCAGGCTGACCAAGCCCCGTTGACGGTGTGGGCAGAGTACCTCCCGGCATGCAGGAAATCACCAGAAAGGCCTGCCAAGGAAAAGGCTAAACTGTTAGTTCTAGAGTTGAACGTTTCTTGCACTTCAAAACCCCAAATTACAAAAAGAAGCTGCTGAGTAATAACCTCCTGTAACTCATGTGTCCTTCTCTGCAGTTACTATTAAATACAGGTACAAATACGATCTCGTTTTGTGAATGTGGCAAAGTCCTCACACAGGTCATAGGCCCTGTATTTGTAATTCACTTATTTTTCCGAGAAACTTTTTACAAAGAAAACACAAGTTTCTCACTTCCCTTGGGAATTCTACACAACCTGCCCTTGAACTCACCATCGAGAATATGGTCTAGGAAAACAGAACAGGATTCGGACATTTTACACCTGGTCTTTAACCCGTTAACCTTTGCAAAGTGGAGTAAGTCTGGTGAAAGGCATAGGTTTCAGGTTTCTGAATCACAGGTCGTGGAGACACGTCAGTTCCAGAATCCTGCAACGGGGCCAAGCTCATGGCCTGGCACCCAGCCCATCCCTGAGTAACCTTGTTATGTGGCAAATGCTCCCATGATGTTCAGAGCAGACTTACTAGCAAGACATGCGTACCCAGGAACACATGTAGTTATGGAAGCAGCAGTAATTGGAGGGGAGGGGAGGCTTGTCTTGGTAGAAACAGACCCTGAAGACTGTGTCAGGTTTGCTCAGAGAGCACTTTGCACTTAAAGTCACTTAATTAGCCACAGTCAAAATTCCTGTTCAGTTTACTGAACAAGGCACCCACTTAAATATTTAAAAACATTCACTCATTTTCTCAAATGCAGGCAGAGTGACATAGGTTAATAAAAAACTCTCCAAGTATGCACCAAAGTTCAGGTTAAGTGTGGGAGGCAAATATGCCAACAGTTCTAAAATTATTGCCAACTAATTTTGTTGTTATTTAAAAACTGGACCAGAAACCAAGGCAGGATGCTCTTTAGAGAAAATGGATTAGAAATGTCTTACTGTGATGAACCAGTACTTTGTGGTTAATCAATAAAGGACAACTATTCACAATTAAGCCTCATTTTGAGTGGTTAGAGGCAAATATATTCACTTGTGTATTTTCAAGATATCAATACCAAACATGTGTGGCTGGTCTTTAGAAGCTGAAGCTATTAAGACACAAGAAAGATGAAGTCTTTTTAAAGCAATGCCCATGATATACTTTTAGAGGAAATACAGAATATATTTTATACTAGTGCATTAAATTTGTCCTTACTTTATATTACTAGCATTTAAAACAAATATTAGCTTTGGTTTTGTATTTGAGAATGGAATACAAAATCTATTTTCAGAAAAGAGAATAAAAATGTATAGAGAAACATGATTAGTCATTTTCTTTTCATTTTTACTTTGATATCATAAAAAAATAAGATAGTTCATAGCCAGCTCTGAAATAAGGGAGTAAGTGAATGGTGTTTATTTGTTTTATTTAAATTGCAGACTTATTCACAAATTTCTTTACTAAAGCCGACTTCTCCGCCCCACCCCCATCCCCAACCAAGAAACAGTGAGCAAGCTTGTTAGTTGCTGAGCAACATTATTAAGCAGGATGGTTTGAGGTGAGGCTTTAATGTCATTAACTTAGCAGATAGTTAATGTCAGCCAAAGCAATATGACTAGGAATGGTTGTTGATGTCAGCTGTTGGTCCTCCAAGCATCCAGGCTGGCAGCTGAGCTGCCTGGCTGCTCAGCTCCCAGGAGACATGAAGTTCTGGGACATGTGTGCAGCTGGTCTGCTCATGGCCACTCGTTGAAGAGCTTCTCTCAGGCCCTGTGGGAGACGATTTTTTGCACCTCCGTGGATTTATTCCACCGGCATCAATCCAACATGATGAGTCACCAGCTCCGTGGTTCCTCAAGGCCAAGGGTCTAAAGCTCCTTCTCTAAAAAGAACACTACGTTGGCCTATGTGGCTCAGTTGGTCAGGCGTCATCCCATACTCCAAAGGTTGCCAGTTCGATTCTCTGTCACGGCACATCCCCGGGACAGGGCGCGCAGGAGGCAGCTGATCGATGCTTCACTCTCACATCAATGTCTCTCTCTCTCTCTCCCTCTCCTTTTCTCTCTCTCTAAAAACCAATAACAATATTTTAAAAATAAAGATGACATTGATGGAGACTGTGTTTTCTCTATCATATTCATTTTGGGAGAATAAGGTGGAATTGTAAACACAGAAGCACTGAGAAATGTTTGGAGGTGGTCGGGGGAAGGTATTACTACCACTGTTCTCATCAAACCGTCTGTGAGGTGAGGCCCCACCTGTGAGCAATTGTTTGCGTGTTTGTTTTAGAACTGGCCAGAATTTGTTACATTAGATGAGAATGGTAGAGGAGATGAAAAAGGATGCAGAAATGCCCAGGCAGAGGATGGACTTTCTGGTCTACCCTAGAGCTCCCCCACACTATTAATATGTCATTGAAGGGATTTACACAAATACAAGGGGAAAAGCAATTTCAAAGACTATTAGAGGATTCTCACATGGTGTACTCGTAAACATCCTTTTATATATTGATAAACACAAAGAGGCACTTCTGTTTTCTTTATCCACTTTTGAGATAAACAAAAGAAAAGCTTATTGCAAATGTTAGTGCCAAAAGACCTACTATGGAAGGTCACTGACCCTTCCTGATATTTTCTAAGTAAATCTCCCACACATTTTGCGGACTTGCTATAAATCTAGTGTTATTTTGAACTGCCACAGGACCATCCCAATATGTAACTAAATTTTTACAGTAAAGCTGTTTCCTATCAATTTGCTATATAGCCAGTGCTGCCCCAGAGGGATCATTGTTAGATGGCTGAACCATAAGTCATAGAAAGGAAAGATCTGCCCTCGCTCTTCTATGAAGCTCTTCTAGAGAAAAGATTACACGCTCGTCCGTGGACGTGGATCAGTCCCTGCAAGTCCCCACTCACCATCCGTGGAGCAGCCGCTGGTTCCGTCACTAGAGCAGTACCGCATTTCAATTCTCTGTCTTCCCACTTCCAGCAAATTTGGATCAGGAAGGCGGGCTTTGCATGTGTATCGAAATCGCTGCTCATAGTGGCCCCCGTTGTCAGAGATGTTGACGGGTGTCCAGGGTGTCCAGGGCGTGGTCTTCTTCAGCTCAGGGCATGGGTTGGTATTACAAGGCTGGTACTCCTGGGAGACAGAAGGCATGGTGTGTGCTCATTATACAGTATAAATAGAGCCAGGAATTGTGTTCCTCTAGCAAAACACAGGGGTCTCTAAAACTTCAGATCTTTAAACACCCATCAGCTATTCTACAAGGTCTAAAACACATTTTTGCTATATTAGGCATTTAAGGGAATGTTCAGCTTTCAACTCAACTCCAAAGGATCTGCACAATTTCTCCTGCACCAACAGTGAAAATGAGACAAGGAACATAATTGTATGTGAATAAAAATCATGATTCCCATGTAAATCATCTTCCTTTCACATAATAAGTTACCAAAATTGCTGATTATTCTGATGTCAAATTTAGCTGCCTTCTCTAAAAGATTAAAGTTAAAATAATAGCACCAGTATGTTCAGTTTGTGACTAATGAATGTTGTAAGCTCTGGAATCACAGATTCAAAGTTATAGGCTGGTAGGTATCCAAATGATACCAGCATATACAACTTTTGGTGGACAAGTAGTCTTCACAAGATTTCCCTGGTTAGAACCCCAATGACATTTGTCAGTTTCATCTCTCTTCCCTCACACCAGGTATCTCCCTGTACAGGTTGGAGGGTCCTGGGAGCTGGGCAGAGATCTGAAGTGTTGGCAGTACAATGAGTGTTGGGGATTGGAATTTAAGACTATAATTATGAAGGTCCATCTGAAGCACTAAAATATTTATTTGGCAAACATTTTAAACAGCATGCTTCCAGAAATAAGGCCAAATTTAAGGGGTAATGGGTTGGAGTTTGGGCAGAGCACACCACCATGATTCCTCCATTTGACAACAAAAGATATTTCCTTAGCAGGAAAACCCACAACATGCAATACACTCAACTGTGGCCATACTTCTAAAATTATTTTTATCAATGGCAAACATAGACATAAAATAAAAGTTAAACTGCTCTCCAAGCTGTATTATTAGAAAAGAGAGCTGTTGCAGGCTTCCCCCATCAGTTTTAGTTAGACATTTTGATATGTATCCCAGAGAGCGAACAAGAGCATTTTCCACCAGGCACTGTCCAAGTACTGTGCACTATGGAAAACGAGGATTTAACTTTTAACTCCCTTCCTGACTCTCTGTCCTCAACATTGATGCATCCTTCTCACCTCCCACCATCTTAATGGGGTTAAGCTACACTTTGGTTAGGTCAAAATCCAGGGCTTGCACTTAGCACGAGCGGAATGCTCTGCACACCCGAGTGGTGTAAACCATGGCTGGTTTCTGTTTCCTGCCTAGTTCCCTTCTAATCCAAGTTAAGGGTTCATCTGTTTAGGGGATGGTTGTTTAGTTTCTATGAGCATGACATCAGTTCACCCCTGTCATGTGTTCTGACACAGTAAGAATTGTCTTTGTGGTTTCTGGCTTGATAAAGTATCCCTTTAATATTTTATTAGTGAATTTCCAGTAAGAGAGAAAGCCATGTGTCCACACCACCAGCTTTACCTGGAATCCTATTAAAATCATGATTGTGTCACTCTTCTAATTATTCTAACTAGGTTTCTTTACTCATAATCCATCTTTTTAATCATTTTTACAAGGGACAATACTCTGGAGTTCTCTTGTTGGTGACATCATAGGCTTTTAACAGAAAGTGTGTAAAGTGATCACTGCTTCTCTGATGCAATAGCCTCTCATCTTTCCTTCCCCAGCCCATGGGTGCTGCTCATCTCCACAACAACACACAGTGGAAGATAGATGACCGCATTTTCCTCTGTTTATAGCATCTTTTATTACGGCATCTTTTGGATGCTGCCTCCCACATGAAAAAATAGCCCCAATTCAGGCCATAAACTCAATCATGTGAGAAACTAGACAGGACACGTGTGAGCGCTCTCATTTTCACTTGCAATGGAAGCCACGTGCTAGGAATGCAGTAAACCTTCTCTGGGGTCTCCAGGCGCCGTGTGGCAGCACTTCGTCCCCAGGCTGGAATGCCATATGTGACTGTCCTCCCCTTCCTGACTCTGTGCCAGCCCGGCTGGGCCAGCGTCCAGGGCTCCGTGCTGAAACAAACTAAAGCATATGTCATGTATAGAGAGACTCATTTTAAAAAATGCAGGCTTATAAGCTCAACGTCCCTTATAAAATCTTATCATCTCACATCTTAAACAAAAATAGAAGGTATTTCCAATAATTCTTAGCTTCCTTGCACAAAAGAATTCATCTTTTCTATGGAGATGAAGGTGCATTTGTGGGATATATGAGTAACAAATATATTTTAAAGCTGCTCATGTGCCCCAGTTGGCCTCTGTGTGCTGGTGACATGCCCAGTAGGGCGGGGTCACGTGTGCCAGAGGTGGACACAGCTCAAGGATGAAGATCAATTCAGGCTCATTAAACCTGAACCTCTGATAACAAAGTCTGTTCTCCTGTTCATTAACTTCTCAAAGCACAGATTTCAACACAAGACACATGACTTGCTCTTTTTACTGCATTTTGAGGTTTCATATGATGCATTGACTTAAAACATCAAATTATGAAATGCTGAGAAATGGTATGACCAATATGTTTTATATTAATGACCAAAATTATGACGTGATTCAAGTCAATGGTGAGTAATTATACGACTTAATGGAGTCTGTTTGTTACAATTTACTGTTGAACTGTTGCTGGAAGTCCTCATATTTGAATGGAACTTGAACAGCATTACATTTAATGTTACAGAAAGAAGTTATTTTAAAAGTAGTTTCAGGGAGCTAATTACTATTACTTTCCACATAGGATTCTGAATATTCTGGTGGAAAATATTATGTAAGAATGGTTACTGAAAGTAACCCTACGTCTGGAGACACACACACACACACACACACACAGTATTTATATACAATGACATATTATCCAACCATGAGAAAGAAAGAAATCCTGCCACTTGAGATAACTCAGATGTGTTAACAGACACCTCTTGCAGATACCAAGTCAGAGAGAGAGAGAGCTGTCCCCACCTCGATTCTTGTTATGCTGTGTGAATGAATTCAAACAAGTGACTCCAGATGATTGCATTGTAATAAAGCCAATTTGTTTAAAAAAAAATTAAAGTAAGCAAATTGATTAAAGAAGCAAGGCCAACAAATCTACTACACTACATCTGAGCTGGGACCTAGCGGGGCTTTCCCAGCTAGTCAGAAAAAGTAATGTGGTTGTGGTTCAAGGGGTTATATACCCTCTGCCTATAGATTTTAAAATTCCTTTGCTAGATATACTGGTGCAGGTTAACTCTGAAGGTTTCTTTGCCTTTTACTTTGTTATGGAGTTCCCAGAATTTATGAGAAGCACCTGGTAATTAAATCCGGACCTTTTTGCCTCCCTGTTTAAACGCTGGGATGAGATAGTACGGCACTCTTCCTCCCCTCCTTCTCCCCTCTTTTCTCCCGTCTCAGTTGGTTTCAGGGTGATTTAAGATATGTATACTATAGTTGCATTAAAATTCCTCCATCTCTTCCCCCTCTTCTTCTGTATTCTTTGGAGAGACATTAACCATTTGTTCTCAAGACTCCCTGATTGGGGGAAGATGAGGGCCTGCTATTTACAAGCTGGCTGCAGGCTGCCAAACTGCGCGGCCTTGTTCAATGTTCTTGTCTTAGTTTCCCTATTTCTCCTGCCCTAGAATTTTTCTAGCTGTTCACTACTTTGTAACTCAGATGGACCTTGAGGGCATTGTGCTAAGTGAAATAAGTCAGACAGAGAATGACACATTCTGTATGATATCACTTGTATGTGGAATCTAAAAAATGTAAATACTAGAAACTAATATAATATTGTATGCCAACTATAGTTTAAAAAATAGACTCAGAGAAACAGGAAGTAGAATGGTGGGTATGAGTTTCCAGTTATTAGATTAACAAGTTTGGGGCTCTAATGTACAGAATAGTGATTACAGCTTATATAACTGCATCATACAGTATATATAAATGTTGCCGAGAGAGTAAATCTTAAATGTTCTCACCCCCAGAAAGAAATAGTAACAATGTGACCAGATAGAGATGTTACCTAGTGTTATGATAGCACTAATTTGGCAATTTATAAATGTGTCAAATCAGCACATGGTACACCTTAAACTCATACAATGTTATGTGTCAATTATATCTCAGTGTAACTGGAATAAAGTTTAAAAAAACAAAGCTGATGCAAGAGCAAAAAAAGTCAAGGAAAACAAATTTTTAAAAAAGTGGTTACTAAAGCAATTTCAAACAACTCTCAAATATCTTCCCAGGTAGCCTCTGTCTCAGTCAACAGTGATAAGATCATTCATTTAAAAGTTTAATCCAGAAACCCTGGAGGCAACCTGCTGCTCTCCATCCCACAGATAGGGCCTTTTTTCTAATTCAGGCCACCATCATCCATTAACGCAGGCCTGTTTCAGAGCCAAAGCCTGTATTTTCCTGAAGTTTAATTATCTAGTTATAGATTGCCTATACTAATAGACAGCACGTTTGTCAAGAGCAAGTACTTTGTCATACTTCACATTACCAACCTTAAGTACAGTAACACTTTTTTTGTGAATGGATAAATCATACTGATCAATTCACAGATAAGCCCATTCAAAGGGAATTTGCATAAATCTGGTGAACAAATTTTGGTTAAGTGGAGCCCCCTGTTTTGCTGTTTATTTTTCCTATCAAAAAAAAACTAAATCAAGATGCTCTGGTACTAGCATCAAGATACAAAAATCAAGCAAAGGAATAGAATGAAAAGCCCAGAAATAGACCTGCGTGTATATGGTTTATTCATTCTTTACCAAGGGGCAAAGCCAACACAGTGAAGAAAGTAGTCTTTTCAGCAGATGGCGCTGGAACAATTAGATAGCCAGATGCAATAATTTTGATCACTAATTGCTTCATGAATGATAATAAACTCAAATGGATCACAGACCAAAACCTTCTAGAAGAGAACAGGAAACCATCTCTGTAACCTTATGTTAAGCAAAGGGTTCCTAGATATAATGTCAAAACAATCAATCATAAAGAAAAATAAGTTGAA